CGGCCCCCTCTGGAGCTGAATCCTCAATACCTCAAGCAGAGATTGAGTCAAATGCTCCATATCAGCCATTTCATACAGATCGGCGAGTTAGCCTCCACATTTATTCTCACGGAAAGACTAAATTGTCTCCTTCAACGTCTACAAGTAATTCGTCTGACAATGTTATGGCTGATTCATCCAAAAAGGCGTGGGCATTTGGTGGCCCTATAAGAAGTGCGAGACTTGATGTCGGCCCACCCCAACTTACGGAGGACGATTACCAAGCTTCTTCTTACCATCGAGCTCTCCCATCTTCCGCCATGGAGCGTGTGATGAGGGTTGCAGACAGCAATCACGAAGATATGGAGCAGATTGTGGTTACTACTCGAAGGCGTAAGGGTGCTAGTTCTAACGGTGTCCCAAGGCCAGGGGACGAGGACGAGGAAGGCTTCTTTGAAGATGATTGCGAGGTCCTGGATTTTGCTAGCCAGCGGGTTTGATCGATTATAGACTTTTCAGCCAAATTTTCCCACTTCGTAGCAATTGCATTCAACACAACGATTGGCTGAGAAGGAGTTCGTTCCATAACTCACGGGGATACAGTTACAAACGATTGTTTGCCTTTTGATTTCGGCACAAGGTCATAGGACCTTCAAAGGCTTCTTTGCATTGCATCTCTTCAGTCTTACTATGGTTGAATATCTCTAGGAGAGTCCGCGATGAGTACTTATGCATAGTTTAGGTTTAACGGCGTTTTTGGTTAAGGACATACAAGTCTTTGGGCTGGGTGAGCTAGAGGCTGGGGTACCGGTGATATGGAATAGCTGAGATTATACAGAATGGCCTGATATGCTTTTGTGAGATACCATAAACAAGAATACAACATGTACTTTTTCCAATTGACAATATCATCTCACTGCACATCATTGATTTCTTGTGACCGGGTGCATCATTTCAATTTCTTGGCTGTGTTCGAACCAATGTTGACAATTTGATACAATTTTGTGGTGGTGAATGGGGTATTACGAGGATATTTTGTACAACATGTTAAAATCCAATTGAGCTCTGGTACGAATGTAGGTCTCAAAACTCAAATAAATCGTATACCAACCATCGTGTCACTGGCCTACTTAGGGGTTTACACGTGTAGGACGTAAATCGCGCGCACGCGTGATACATCACGAATTTGTGGGCACAAGTTTCATAGTCCGGTTCTTATGCCTTGGTCGCCCTTCGGGAGATTCCAGCGGCTATCAGATAGCAAGAAACACGATAATTTGAATTGAGGGCACAAGCTGCTCTCTATGTCGCGACTACTGGGCAAAGATGCAGTGGTCTTGTTCGGTTCACACCAATTGTACTTGGGAAATTGGTGTCATATCTAAGAATATTCTAATGCCATGCCAGGACTTCCGCCAACTATGACTGGGCTATCTGTAAAGCCTTGGGAATAAGATCTCTAGCCCACGATAGCCTACATACATCGCCATACTGCTCCTGCAACCGGGGTATTGCTATCATCCTCCATCCTCCCGTTTACACTCTTAATCCATTCCTGTTCTAATGCCACCGCATCTGATTCTATTTGCGCCATGACCTCCAACTCTAGAAGCATACCACCCACCAAGGCCCTGAGCCCGCCCACCACACTTGTCATTGTAGACTTCTTTTGTAACCTTCCGAGATCTTCCAAAGAATCTCGCCATCCTTCGAGTTTCCTATTTAAAACCAAGCATTCGTCTTTCCACGCCAGGTCTAATTCCTCAATGAAGACTATTTCTTCCTCATCATCCAACATCTGATCGTGATCTCTATCCCTCAAAATCTCCTCACACCTGATAACCCACTTCTCAAACTTTCTCACGAGCCTTGCATATTTTCCTCCAGACTCGCCTAGATTCCAAGCTTCGTTGAGCACTTCATCGAGTAGCTGTATCTTCTCTTCTAAACCCCAGCCAGGAGTTCCTACGTCTTGCCACTCTTTGAAAGCAGCAGCATTGATCCTTCCAGCTTCCTCTACCTCCAGGCGAAGTAACTCATCATGTCTCTTGACTACCGATTGGAACTTTACCCCAAGCTTCTTCTTCGCACTCGCTTTCCATTGTCTGTTTACTAATTCTGCATCCCGATGCAACAAGTGCAATTGTAATAATTCATTCTGGAGCTTTGCGGTTTCCGCAGTTATTGCAATGTTCGCAGGAAGTTTGCTGGGGGTCGGGGCGGCGAGGAAAGATGCAGTAGGCGGTTTAGAACCAACGTTCTTTGCTGGTGAAAAGTGCTGTTGGAGAGTAGAGAATGCAGGTTTGCGAATGGATGAATCTCCGTATAGAGATTGTGGACGTGCTCTCACTGGGGCATCTTGCGGTTGTGCTCTCTGCGAAGTTTGACTCGGCGGGCGAGATCTTTGTGACGTTTGACTGGGTGGGCGAGGTCTTTGTGACGTTTCACTGGGTGGGCGGAGGACAGTGGAGGAATTGTTTAGTATTGTCGATGAAGAGTTTGTGCGTAAATGGGTCGGTCTTGTAGTAGCAGAAGTAATTGACGAGGTACGTATGTGCCGATTTGTAGAAGTGAGTGGTGGTCTTGAACGATCTTTTACGGGTTCGGACGTCGCAGCAGATGAATTTCGAACAGACGTTGATCGAGCCGGACCACTCGTCGTAGGAGGTTTGGTCACATTTGCCCGGGTAGATGGGGGACGTATAGAAGGATTGCTGGTACCAATGGAACTCGTAGTCGATGGTCGTGTAGATGTGGGAGTGCTCGATGCGGTTGATATGGTAGTTCTTCGTGGTTTGATGGGTAAACGACTGGGTGAAGCTAGATTATCGGGAGCTGCGGTCACAGATGATTTGATATCGGGACGAGTTAGATTAGTAATTCTCTCTGAAGGTTTACGAATTGATCTTGTCCTTGATGGAATTGTTGACATGATTTGTTTGTTGATCGTTATGTTCTGTATGAATTGGATATTCAATTATTTGTTAATAGTTTTGTAAAACAATTGAATGTAACAATTGTGTTGCTCTGTTGACATGTTATTTAAATATTGACATCCTAGCGATATTTTTATTTATTGATACTCGAGTACAGCAAGGCAATGCAGAAAGCAATGCAGGATTGATTGCATGGGGAACAGAATCACATCACACACACACACACACACACACTTGAAGTTGCGGTAAGTTATGAAGCTACGAAGCTACGAAGCTACGAGGTTGCTACGGGTAGATCAGCTATTGGCAAGTGGTGGTGAGTGGTGAGTGGTGAGTACTAGGTAGTATTGAATAAGTACGAGTCAATTATACTTGACTCTGTATTCCTCTTTACATCTGATGTTGTATATGTTGTATTGGACATGTGTGATACTGGAGCATCTTCAAGAGTTTATCAGTCAGATAAAAGGATGTCGTGTCCTTGTGTTTCTGTTAGAGAAGACTCGCAGTGACCATCTAGGGTACGAGGATTCGTGGTACCTTACACCATTGATCGATCATCGAGGTAGTCTTACATACATTATCGCAATCAAGGGGCTGCAATCAATTATGCAGACAGGTACAGCAAATCAATCGTCAACTCACCCAATGAAGTAAGAGTGATTGATTCAGTAACGACGACGGGATCAAGTCAAGACTAGGTAGCAATACGGATACCATTGTACTTCACTTCTCTTGACGAGAAAAGGTTTCCAAGGTTAATTTCATGATTTATCGGTAGGACCATATTATGGAAGTTCACGTTTATGTTCATGTTCATGTTCATGTTCATGTTCATTCATATACTCGAGTATCAACCTTATGATGATGATCTTCCGGGAACTATATGTATGTAGTATGAATGTACACATCTATTATTTTTATGAAATATATGTGTATATTATATATATATATATATACACAACGTTATATAGATTAACCTTCTCCTAAACCCATCTATCTCCTCACGCATTGCATAGCTTCCTCACAATTTGATTCAGCCCCAATCCCTAATACGAGGTCTAGAAAGCATTTTCGTAACCTCACACTCACTACCTCGAGACTACTAAGTACCTTGGGTATTCAAAGTACAACATCATATCACATCACATCGCATCACATCGCATCACATCACATCACATCAATACCACGACAAGGTATACGCATACGTCAAAATTATCTTTTCAAGGTCCCTTGCTATCTTATATCCTACCCTGCTTATCTATCTATCTACCCATCCATTCATCTATCCATCCATCCATCTATCTGCCGGCATCTACGAAGATCATCATGACGATCATTCTCATACACATCTGAAGTTTCGGCTTTGTAGTTACCCCCGCCGTCTACGCACGACTCTTTAAATTCTAAGTATAGATTGAAATGAAAAGAATGGAAGAAAAAAAGGAACCCACCCCCCTTGACCTTCTCCCTCTTATCTCTATCCTCACTTCCCTACCTTCTGCTACAACAAAGCATAATATATCAAGCAGCATGGAATATACTCAAAAACGCCTGATCCGAAATTCAAGGTAGGTAGGTATTCATACTATCCTACATCCCATCTATTTTTCATGATGGGATGAATCCAAAAATAAATAAAATCCAGCTTCCCTTCTATGGCATCGGTGTTTTTCCCTCTTTCTTTCCATGTAAATTTCCTTCTAGAACTCCTCATCTGTTTCAATTTCATCATCATCAATATCCAGATCCATGCGTTGTAGGACAAGTTCAATAAGAACTTTAGTCAAAACAAATGCATGAACTTATTGCAAGATATCTAGTCCATACATGCCCTTGCGAAAATCCCTTTTCATCGTTCCGTCGTTTGACCATTTCAAGGGATCCCGGTTGGCGACCTTGTTTTATATCACACCCAAAGTACCAAAGTAAGTCGAATAACTGTGAATTTGTGTGATTTCTATCTTCCTTCATCTTTCTCTTATCGTTGCAACTCTGATTCAATTTATTACATTGAAGAATAATTATCATTTGAACAATCGCGATTTTCTATCAAGAAGTCAAAGTTGAGAGACTTGAAACAAGATGGATACAGCAGTCAATTCGCCCTACCGAGAGCCCCTCGTGAAGTACACGAAGGCGCTTCCCAGTACACCAATAGAATTGAAAGATTCTCAGCAAACAATCATGTCAAAAACCTTGCCTTCTTTGCCAGCAAGAACGAGCTCTCTGCCGGAGAGGAAAAGCTCAAGAGCAATGTCAATTCCACGTCGAGCCGTTGGGAGTACTCCAATTGCGTCGAAAAAGTCTTCCATTGCGAGCATATCATCTTCGGGTTACTCTGGTTCTGTCCTTTCTCGAACTTTGTCCGGGGGTAGCAACTTTACCAAAGATTCACTCAGCTATACTGAATCGGAGTTTCGAAAAACTCCTCCGATACCAGAGCAAGACGAACAGAACCACGTATCTCCTACGACACCAAGAAAGGATATAGGAAGTCCAAGATCTTTATCAAGTTTGAAATCTTCTCCAACGCAAGAAATTTGGAGGAGAAGATCGTTAGTGACCCAGAAGGGAATTGAGTTTCCTGATTTGAAACTTCTAAAGAGTAACGGCTCAACGGCAAGTCCTCCTTCCAAAAACGGCAACTTGGCACTCGATCGTTCCTTGCCCAAACTACCAAGTCAGGTTCTCCGATATAGAGAGCTTTCTGATCGAGAACGAGGTCTCATACCTGCTCGTGAAGCACCGCAAGCACCAGCAGTACCGCCGATGGGCGCAAAGATTTCGAAGCTGAAAGACATCAGCAAACGAAAAGCCACAGATCAGTCTCATGAAATCAGGGGGCATGGCGAATTTAACACTAACCAGTCTGGAGATCTTGGAGAAGGGCATACGTCACAGTCGACAAACGCACCATACTCGCCTCATGGAGGTCTGCCAACACCAGAATATTTAAGATCGGATGAAGATCAAAGTCAACCATCTACACCACAAGTATTTTCACCGACTACACCACCCAGCGATCTATCATCCGCAACCCAAGTACCAATAAAGTCGGATGCTAATCACACTCAAATTATTTCCGTTGCAACAGCGAGCGATCGATCAATTTCGCAACAGTCTCCACTCATGCCTAATCTTCTTCACGGCAACCACTCTCGGAGTCCCTCGGAAACTTTGACCATCACATCTCCCCTGGATGTCGTCCGGTCACCGCAACCCCAAAAGCCACATGCCACCAAAACTATCCTTACACCTCAGCCCTCACCTCCAGCTGAATCGGCAACCTTCTCGCCATCTATTACATCCACGACCCCAACTGTTACAACAAACCCACATTCCCGTGAGACCTCTCGAACAACTACCTCTCGTGCAACGTCTCTCTCTTACTCTTATTTCCCTTTATCGCCTTCCTCACTTCCTGCTCCTGGAACAATTCTACCAGCTCCTCCCATTACATCACAACATATTGATTGCTTTCAAAGTCACAGATTTATGCGGCGATCACGAAATAATTTGTGTCCACTCCAATGCCAAACTTGCTCGAAGGGAGACTATGAACAACAATGGAAATGTACATGGTGCTGTTTAAGGGTATGTTCTGACTGCATGGCTGTTTTGGCAACAGTACGAAAAGATTTAGGCGCTTTCTTGAAATTGATTGGAAAGGATACGCCGAATGAATCCGATGGCAAGACGATGATGGTCGAGAAAGATATCGGTGAGAGAAGTGGAACTGTGAATCAGGAGAATGAGAATCATCAAGTGGGTGTTGAAGCGTGAGAGAACTTAACGGCCATGCCATGGGACATATACATCTTTGCTGCGGAGTTTTTAGGGTGAAAATATCATGGTATTTCGAGATCAAAGGCGGTCTTTATGCATCCATTGCGATTGTTTTATTGCGCGTAGTAATCGCAACGGTCCGTTTGGATGTATCCTCGGAACTGATCTTGCATATCCACATGCAATTTGATGAGCGATCGCAGGTATAGCAAGAAGTTGAGCTTCTATTGGGATAAACAGGACTAGCTTTTGTGTATATGACTAGTCATTGATGAATGTATATACTATATTAGCGATACTCAGCGGAAATTATCATGTTATTGTACATCAGATCGATCAAGGCATGATGTGTTAGCATTAAGTCAAAGTGCATAGTTGGTCTGAACTTCTACTTGTATTTTGATCAAATGATATCCAATCCCTAGGAGAGCGGCTTGAACCGCTCAGAAGCCTTCGGATAGGCCGGTTTTACTTCTATGTTGTGAGTTATTATGCCCGGGTACTATAAGGTGCCCGCTAGCCTACGGTTGTGACTTCTGTTCTTCTCCTTGGGTTAATCGACCCTTTGGTGATTGTAAGGAATGATCCAGAGATGGCAACAGATGAGAAAAACATATCACGTCAATGTTCTTTTCCCCTTAATGAACATTAGCACATCAAAGTCTCTAGCGAGCTTTCAGGAGCCTTATCTTATCTACAGGGCTGGACTAAGCTAGCAAAACCTTAAATGACTCATTTTGAGTAACCTTGGTACTCGCCCATTTTTTATGAGTCGGAGTCCACTTTACTCGATTGGGACAATCCTGCGCCCATATGTTTGATGGTTTGAAATACATCAAACGATTGTCGGCGTCGCATTCAAAGGTTCAAGTATATAACAGTAAGTCCTCACTCCTAACCTTCTCGAAAACTCACACTAGATCATCAATTGTCTACAACACCACAAGCACTTTACCTTACCTTTTTACTACGTCAAATCGCTCGTCTCTTTCTACATCTCGCGGCTTTCATGCTCCCAAGTGAAACATCCGTAAACACAGCACGCCATTATAACATGTCTTCTTCCGTCTCGGATCTTTATATTCGACCTGAAGGGGTACATGTCATCCCAAAAGAATCTCTCGATCTACGGCCAGATTCAGAGATCGATTATGACATTTTGCACCCTAAGCCAATTTCAAGTGAAAAGAATATTTGGTTCTTCTGGCATAGTGGTTTTTCCAACATGCATCATTATACCCAACGAAATGTTCGCGCCTGGCACCGGAGGTTCACAAAACAAGGTTGGACTGTCCGCGTAATCGATCGACAGCCATCTTCACCTCTGAATGTCGCAAACTTTTTGGATGTTAACGACCTGGGTACCTTCCCTGGTGCTTTCATAGACGGTACTATTGGAGGCGACCACAGTCCTCAACACACATCTGATCTGGTCCGATTTCCCCTCCTCCTAAAGTATGGTGGTGTGTACGCGGATGTGGGGATGATGCAAATCGGTGATCTAGACCGTATGTGGCGGGAGACCATCGATAACGATGCTTCTCCATTTGAGCTTTTGTCGTATAATGCAGGTACGATTGATGAGCGCTGTCTCACGAACTACTTCTTAGCTTCAAAAATAAACAATCCCATGCTTGAAAGGTCGCACAAGTTATTGCTGGCTTTGTGGGCAGCAGATGGCGGCAAGACAAGCACAGAGGGAATGCATTCTAGTCCCTTGTTGAAAGGAGTCCAATTGATGGGGGGTTCGTTCACTATTGAGGAGGACGGAAAAGCCATTTCGGCTGAAGACTGTAGCAAGCTATTGACAGATTACATCATTCAAGGACAAGTAATGACGATGGTACTGGGACTGGTCGATGAAAACGACAACTGGAATGGACCAAGATATTCTGCTGAGCATGTGTACGCCATCGAATACATGGAGGGCTCGCAGCTCATCAACGAGTTCACGGCTTGGAATGGACAAAAGGCATTTGACTTGATGTCACTTTCAATTCCTCGCAACGGGGAAGCAGAGAGCCCGGAACAAAAGCAGGCAAGAGAGATTGTGGAAGCTTGTTTGAAAAGAAGCTTTGGCTTTAAACTCGCTCATGGTCTCATTTTACGGGTACTTGGTGAGACTTTGGGGTCGCTGTGGAGAAAGCATGATGGGTCGGATATAGTACCTGGGACTTATGCAGATTGGTTGAGATATGGAATGATACATTGGACGCAAGACGAGCTTCCACCGAGAATGGATTTTCAGATCATGGAGCCAATTAAAAGGGGGCCTTTACTAGCAAGCATTTAATCATTTAGATCATAACACAAAAATTCAGAATTCAATGTCATATAGATATAGATTAAAAGTAGTCTTACAATTATACTAGCTTCGCTAAACCTTTGAAACCTACTATATGTATCTTTGAATATGGATAACATATCGAATAAAGTTGATTGTATAGAAAGGAAATATTCATCAAGTGAATAGTAATATATATTTTATCTCGGTAAAAGTTAATATCCGTATTTGATATAGTTAATATTAAGAAGAAAGGAATACTAATAGAAAAGTGTTTTTGTAGCTATTATAATAAATATGAAAAAATCAGGTTATGATTCAAAAATGTATTAAAATGATATAATAGATCCTATATTATTAGATTTTATAATGATATAGATTGATTAATTCAATTATTATTAAATAATATATACTTGTAGATATGAATTAAGATAAACGTTGTTTACTTAGTTATATAGTTCATCTAGGGTTGAACTAAAGTATGTTGTAGTAGTTTTTTTCTTTAATATAATATAAATTTTGAGCTGACTAAAAGCTGTTGGAAATTGATCAGAACGAGCTTTATGATTATACCTTCTAAAACTGATATATTAAATGAATGTTTTTATCCTTATGATATAATATAGATATACTTTACTCAATATTAGGAGCTCATGAATTTGAAAGAACATTTTCACTTTCAATATAATTACAATTCTAATATAGTAGTAGTAGTAGTAGTAGTAGTAGTGGTAATATTAATTTTCGTCTAAAAATACCTCCCGAAGGGTATTAAGATATACTAAATGAAGAATTTAAAATAATATATTATATATCAAAGAATCCAAAAATTATAAAAGGAAAAAATGATTTTTTAAAAAATAATTCTATATTTTCGATTTTATAATATTATAGTTTTATTATATATTTCAAAAAATACTTTGAGATAAACTATATATACTATATATAATTATTCTTTATATATAATCATAACTATTATCTACAAAATCCTTTTTTTTTTCAAATAAATATATATAAATTTGAATGATAAAAGGCTTTAGATAATTCGAATCTTTTTTAAATGAACTCTAAATCTCTACTTTAATATTTGTATGAATCATAAATACTGGAAATTCGAAAAATCACTCTTTTATATCTAAGATTTCTTTTTATTTTCTTTTTAGTGCTTTTTCTTTTTTATTATATAACATGATTTGACTAGAAGTGAGTTATATCATAATATAAATCACAAAAATCATATTTTCCTATTTAACCTTATTCTATATACTACAAAATGATTTACAATTATTATTAATTAAATTGAATTATCACTATTCTCTTCTTTTTCTATCTCTTCTTTTATTTATTTAATTTGATACTTAAATAATCTATTACATCATTATTTAAATAAAAATATTTATTAAATTTCTTTAATGATTTTCAATACTTCTTTAGTACTAAATATAAATTCATCTTTTAATTTTATTCTCTTTTTTGGGGGGGGATTTTTTTGTATTTCAAATAACTCTTTATATTCTCGAAGTTTTTTTTTGAAGAATAATATTTTTAATATTTAAGCTTTTAATTTAATAAATAATTCGTTTTATATATCTATATACTAAAGAAACAAATAGATCATTAATAAATAAAATTGAATTGAATATTTTATGTGTTTATTATAACTCAATATTATTCAAAGAAAAATTATTAAATAAAAAGAGATCTAGATTTTTTAGATTTGCTAATATATTTGAAATAGAAAATAATAATAGAAGCAAAATTGAAAGATTATTTAAAGTTTAATAAAAATTAAACAATTTCAAACCTGTTCTTTTTTATTTGCGTTTGATATTTTGATAAATAAAATCTTTTTTTTTATCTTTTGAAAAAACTACATCCAATTAGATTATTGTATTCATTGTATTTTTACTTAAAAATATTAATCAACCTTTTAAATATAATATTATTTTATTAATTTATACACTTCAACAATCAATAGCTAAAATAGATACAAATAATAAAATAATAAAATCAAAAAATCAATCTCCATTTTAATATAAGAAGTAATCAAACTTCCTATAATATAACTAAAATGACTATCCATAATTAATAATCGAAACTAATCTTCTAATATTTTTTCGAGATTTTAGCTCAAAAATATTATATATTCATTCAAAACTATAATTATTAGAAGTTTATTTATTATTGCTTATGAAGAAATACTAATTTGAAAAAATATTAATTGGAATTTATACAATATTGATATTCTAAACCTTAAAAATAATGATAGGAAGTAAAAGGTTTCTATTTATATTAATATATTCTAATATAATTATTCACTCTTGCTTTTTTACTATAATCTTTTAATTCGATTTGAGAATAGAATCCATGATTATACATATTGATTTCGTTTCTCCAACTACATATTCTATCTCATCTATATTATATATATTCTTGAGTTTATAATATTATTTTTCAATTTATACTTGAAATATTAAAAACTATATTAAAATTGATTCAAATATAACTTCTTTATATCTTATAGATTCTAATTTATGAGAATAGACTTCCTTAAATTTAAAATATTGATTTAAGGATTTATAAATCCATTATTAATCTTTATAATTAGATTAAAAGAATAGAAAAATAGATAATAATACAAAAATGATATATTAATTCAGAATTTCTTAAAAAAAATCTCAATAACCCAAGAGTTGCAAAATATCCAATAATTATTAATCGTAAAATCTATCATACTAAAATCTTGTCTTCCACATTGAAATTTTTTTGAAAAGATTTGTAAGATTGAAAATATGATTATCATCCAGTTATTCGATTTATTAGAATTAATTTTGAAATCTTAAAATGAATAATAACACTTTGAATTAAAATAAACTATTTAATTTTTAGACTTTCTATAACCTTTTGAATATTATCTTTTGATTTGTTATAATTTGATAACTTTTGATCTATTGTATATTGAATAAATATGCAAAATAAAGAAATAAAGAAATGATTTTGACCCATATTATGACATAACCCACTTCTAGTCAATCACGTTATTATCTATTCTTCAAGATTTGTTTTATATATATTATATGAAAATATCAAAGAGATTGATAGAAAAATAGTTGGGCTTCCAGAAGATAATAATTCGAAGAAAAAGGATTAATACAATCTATAGATTACTATGAATATCGATATTAATAATTCAATTTTAGTTTAATAGATTTTAATAAAAGAGCTATAGGGTTATAGAAGGCACTATGTATAGGTGTTGAATCTTCGCCCTCCAAAAAATTATAATATACCATATATAGAAACTACCTTTTAGAGCTCGTTTGATTGCAAAATCCGCGCTGAATCCACTGAAATAATCTGTTCTTTATATTATCACGGATTTTGTAGTGATAGTAATTTGTTTCAAAAAGAATGAATTATTGATTTATGGTTTTATGATTTGTATATCAAATCTATTAAATAATTTATTAAAATAAAAGAAAATGAAATATATATATAATATATATATAAATTAAATAAAATAATTCGAATTTTCAATATATTATTATTATTTGAATAATTAAATAAATGAATATAAAAATAGTTTTATTTGAATTTATATATAATTATAAATTCTAATTCAAAACAAATCTATAGCTTTAGATTTTATTCATTATAATTTCAGATTTTATATACTAAAGCTTTAGGTATTAAAATCTATAAAGATTTATTAAAAAAATGGATTATTTTAATAAATTTAATAAAACTAGTTTTTTTTAATGCTTATTTTCAATTTGTATTTTTATTTTTCTATATAAATTTATTGAAAAATATGGATTATTTAATATTATTTTAGAATAATCTATTTCCTTTTTATTTCAAAATATATTAAATTTATGAAAATATAGATTATTTGATAAAATCCATAATTTAATATTCAAATATAAATTCAAAATCCATTTTCAAAAAGTACAGAATATTCAGCGAATTCAGTGCGGATTTGTATATCCAAACTTGCCCTTAGTCTCTGGATCTTCGCTATACTTGAGATAGATAGTAATAGTAATCTTATATAGCGATAGTTCATATTTAAATACCTCACCTCAACCTAATGATAATAAAGTGAATTAGTAAAGTCATCATACTATTATTGAAAGATCACCAAGCTCTACATGTAATATATGACATTCAGAAACAAATCGAAAACAGACTTAGGATTTTGGATTAAGACGTAAGAAATCAAACAATATAATTTCTATTGAATCATCCCGAAAAACGAAACTCATATTAATTGTAGCATATATGAACAGAGCCCTTTAATATAATAATTTTCTTGATATTAATAAAAAAAGCTTTTACAACTCTATTTTGTATCCCCATCATAAATTGAATAAAATATTACTCTAGATATAGCGAGATAGATACCAACGATAGATTATTATACTTCATAAGCTATGATTCATATACAATCGATGTTTAATAAAATCCCCTTTATGAATTCTTACAAGCAATTCTGGGATAATCCTGATTGAAACACATTATTATACATAAGTATTAGTTTTCAAACTCCTACTTCTCGTTGTGCTCGAAATAATAATAACAATCTCATCTAGCATCTTCTGTATATGAAATCTGAATACATCGCCCGAACCGCGAAGAAATGGATTGACAATACTTTATTAAATTATAATTGAGAATGTTACCAAATCCTATATCTCACAGGTAGCTTTTATAGGATTAAACAAAATTTTAATTCTGAATTAAACAACGAAAAGTCGGATGATGTAGTTTTCATTGAATCATCTCAAAAAACGAAAGTTACATTTGATATAACAGTATTCTAATTAATTATTTGAATTCAAAATGAAGATTAAATATGGCTATTTAAAAATTTACATATCAACTAACAAAAATAGCATAAATACAATAAACATTTTTAGTACATTATATTGAAAATATCGCTGGATTCAAAAGACAATCAAGTGAAAATATATAGAACGATTTGAATTACAAAATGTGATTTCTCATTG